AAAGAAATAAAATGTAATCAAACAAAAAAGCCAAGAAAAATCACAATGAAACTGATAACGTGTACATAAATGCTATTTCAAAACAATTTCTTCAGGAATCAAACATCACAGAGTAACAAGTTAGCAGCAAAATGAATGTGCCATAGACCACTGTGACAGTCATTAGCATTATGAACAGAAAGCTCTTCCTCCCCATGGAGCTCCCAGTGTGGGAATTAGACAATATTGAAGGTCAGGTGCAGCACAGTACATAGGAATATGAGATCATAAAAAGTTTGGGGATCTGCTTTGCAAAAACTAAGCTCTCAAAGAAGGATAAATTGTGGGGCTGCAGAGATGGCTCAGCAGTTGAGAGCACTGACTGTTCTTGCAGAGGACCCAAGTTCACATCCCAGCACCCACACAGTGGTCCAGGAATGACCTCCATGGGCACCACACTGCACAGATGCACTTACACACATGTAGGCAATACATGCATAAAATAAAATAATAAAATTTTTTTTTAAGAACTAAGTTGTGAAAATGAGTTCTATATAGATGTGATTGACCCTGTCAGATAAGGCACTGTTACCCTTTTGAGAGTCTGGCTTTGTTCTTCCATTGCACAATAAGCTCAGAGGAATGTTCGGTTTCACAAATAGTACAAAAGGAGATGGCAGAAGAGGAATACGGCAGTGATACTGCAAACAAAGCTGGTATTGACCAAATCTAGGGATAAATAAGCTCAGGAGCCAGAGAGCCAAGTTCGAGTCCCAGTATCACTACCTATCAGCCTCATAATTTTAATTCCCTTCATTTCCCTAAGCTGCAGTTTCTTCATCTATGAAATGGGAACTAAAATAGCAGCTATATCATGGGAAAACTGCTTGAAACAATGCATGGCTTACTATATACATCACAGAACAGACATAGCCGGTAATATTATCATTATTGTTTTCTTTACTATTTTTTAGCTGCGTATTCAGAGAGAAAAATCACACTACAATCTACACTCAAATTATGTACACCAGGCATTTTGTTCATTGTGCAAAAACAGTGGAACTGGAGAGAGGCTCGTGGTTAAGAGCACTGACTGCTCTTGCAGAGGACCCAGGTTCGATTCCCAGCACCCACATGACGGCTACAAACTGTCCTTAACACCATCCAGTTCCAGGGGAATCCGAAACCCTCTTCTGACCTCCACGGCATTGCACGACATGGGTGCACTCATATACATGCAGGCAATACACTCATACACATAAAATAAAAATAATTTTAAAAAGTGTCATTTCAGTTGGTATCTGTACCCACATTCTCTGTAAGCTCACAATCCAATCAAGCATTGAATTTCATGCAAGATGAAAAGCATGAAGGAGAGTAATTCGATACACATCAGATGTACAGCATACAGTTAGTTCAACCACACAGTGAAATATTACTCAACCTTAAAAAGGAAATGTGCTTCAAACACATGCCACAACATGGGCAAACTCTGAGAACATTCTAAGTGAAATAAGCAGTCACAAATGGACAAATATTACATTATTCCACCAACCTGAGTTACCTAAAATAGCAAACTCAAAAAGCATAATAGAGGCTACTGGGAACTGTGGCACAAAGGGAATGGGAAGTTATTTAACAGAAGCAGAGTTTCTGTTTGGGATGAAAAGGTTCTAGAAATGGATGCTGGTGGTTACATAACTCTACAAATGTACTTACTACCACTGAACTGTACAGTACACTTTAATTAAAACAGTAAATTTTGTCTTGTGTATTTTACAATCCACATACATACACAATAAAAATAATTATTTTTTGTTTTTTTAGTTTATTTTTTAAATTTGTTTTTATTGAATTTTTGTGTACTTTATGCAAAACATCTCAAAGAATCTTAATCATCTTTATTTTTTAGGAACTAGAGAGATGGTTCAGCAGTTAAGAGCACTGGCTGCTCCTGCGAGGACCTGGGTTCAGTTCCCAGCACCCACATGTGGCTAACAACCATCCTTAGCTCCAATTCCGGGGGATCCGACTCCCTCTTCTGACTTCCTCAGGCATTGCACAACACAGGTGCACTTACACACATGCAAGCAATACACTCATACACATAAAGTAAATAAAATATTTTTAAAAGTACAGAATACATTTGCAAAGCAAGTTGTAACATGAGTTTGAGCCTTAGTGTTTAATTAAAGGACAGACCTCTCATTGGAAAGTACCTAAGTACACCAAAGGAGTCAATCTCAGTTCCAAGCTGACCTTGGTTTAAAGTGTCCAATGGAAACGGAGTACACAGCTTGACTTTTTTGTTGTTTTTTTTGTCTTTCTGAGACAAGGTCTCCCTGCTGCCCTACCTGGCCTGGACCTTGCTATGTAGACTACACTGGCCTCAATCTCACAGAGATCCATCTTCCTCCCCCTCCCCAGTGCTGGGACTAAAGGTATGTGCCCACCACATCTGTTAACATTTTTGTAAGGTATATCACTTTTTTTTTTTTTGAGACAGAATCTTGCTAATTTAGTTCAGATCAACCCCAAACTAGTAATCCTCCTTAGCCTTCTGACTGTGGGGATTACCAGTGTGTGTCACCACACCTGGCTTTCATTTTCTGGACTTAGGTCAATTTTTAAGTTCCTTGAAGGGAGAAAGGAACAGACTCTCACAAGCTGTCTTCTGACCTCCACACATCATGCCTTACACACACTTGGGCACACACACATACATAAATAAATAAATCTAATAAAAACTTTTTAGAAAGTATAATATTTTAAATCTCCCCCAAGAAAAAATGGTCATTGTATAATAAAGACACAATAAAGGTGAGCTTAATAAACTAACATTTCCAGACAGCTTGGGACAAAGGATTCTGGTTAAGATAACATAATTATCTGGTAAACTGGTAATTATCATATATTATATATTATTCAAGGAACAATTTTCAAAGAATTAGAATGTAATTTTCAAAGACCTAAAGCCAAGACCAGACAAATAATAATATTAGCAAGCACTTAGCTGAACCTTTCAATATGTCTGGCATTGCTCTAAGCTTTTTATCCATATTAACTCATTTTGTCTTGACAGCGATCGTCTAAGCAGTCTTATTATCCCCATTTGACAAGTGAGAAAACTGAAGTGCAGCAGGGTCAAGCACCTTGCCTGGGCTTGCTAAGTTGCCTAGTGAGCAACAGAGCTAGGATTTAAATTCTAGAAATCTGGTTCCACAACTTGGGAGTCTTCACTTTATCTTACTATCCACTAGCAACAATGAAGAAGGAACTAGAAAAACACAGGCAAATCCAAAATGCAAAGCGGCTGGAGCATCAAACACAACAAAGGCTCTGAGGTAATCAACATATGACAACACATCACAACGATGTTCATGACGGCATCAGGGAAGAAAGAAGGCAGGAAGATTGTTTGGGACACGTAAAAATTTTTTTCCCAACCAAGTCAGCAAGATTTTTACTCCTAAAGAAGTGTCAAATGCAAAAGTCTTCTTTTATTAGAGCTCCAAGCAGAAGGGATTTACTAAACAACCTTATTTGCCATTTACCTCATTTTTAAAGATAAGGAGGTCATGTGTGTGTGTACACGCACACGCACTCAAAAATGTGTATATGAGGATAATAAGTTTTACAAATGTTTTTACCTCCATGAATGAGACTTTACAACATAGTCAAATCAGGGGCTGGAGAAGTGAAGAAGTCAGTAAAGTGTTTGCATAAGAGCTGAGTTCAGTCTCCAGAACCTATGGAATAATGTTGGATACAGGGTCACAATTCCAGCGCTGAAGAGGTGGAGATGGGTGGATCCCTGGGGTTGTTGGTCAGCCAGCCTAGCCTACTTGGCAAGCTCCAGGCCAATGTCTCAAAACAAAACAAAACAAAACAAAACAAAACAAAACAAAACAAAACAAAACCCAAGATGGACAACAGGACAGCACCTAAGGGCAGTTGAGGTTGTCCTTAACCTCCACACACATTTGAACACACACTCAAACTGCAACGCCTACTATCACACAGAAAGTGTCAAATCATACGGACAGGTGAGTGAGCAAACCAGTGGAATTATGAGTGATTGTTGCAAAAAGCATGGAATTTGATCACTGATAGCAGTTATCTTTAGAAAAAGAGAAGAAAAAAAGAAAAGAAAAATACATCCCTTGAAGTCATATATAACCCTGAATTTAAATCCTGGCTTTGGTATGGATTACTAGTAATTTTCACCAAGTCAATTCCATGTAACTGAGTCTTCCTTATTTTCTCTATAAAATGGGTATATTAATTCATAACTCACAAAACTGGTGCATAAGCTAAGGAGATAATCACATGTAAACTGTTGCATAGTCCCTGGAGTATAAAAGACCGTCAACAATAAACAAGTACTACCATTCCTACTTTATTCTACTTTGTAGTCCCCCCAATTGGAACAATCTAATTTTTATCTACTACGAAATCATGGGTAGTCTTCTTAGAGTTATATTAAGTATAATATACTCTTCATAACTGTAAATGTAATCAAAATAATACCAAAACGGCATGAAGAACTGAATGCGGTTTCTCACTCCATCTACGCAGTAGCTATCCTACTTGGCCTGGTGATCCACACCGTTCTCTCTTCTACAGTATGAACCTGACTTTGTCTTTGTAAATCAGATCTAGGCACCTGTGGAAGGTTTCCGTACTTCTAGGGCGCCCTTCGCAGGGGTAACTGTCACTGCTTGAAAACAGACAAGAAAGCCAGGGGAGCAAAGCGCATCTTTGTGAAACGCTGTTTGCTGTTCACAGCTGACCGGATCCCGCGTGGATCATCACAACACACGTTCTCCTCGCTGCGCCGCCGCCACCTCCACATCCCACTCCCCAAGTGCATGCGTAATAAGCAAAACTCCACAATGGCTGAGGGGAAACGCTCCTTAGGGACAACAAAGCGGAAACGCGGTGCTCTCCACAGGAGGCTGGGGAGGTGGGCGACTCCGCCCAGGGCTGGGGCCACGCGGAAGGCAGCGACCTCCGGTTACCTGTCTCCGCGATCTGCCCCCGGGTTCCACTCCCGCGGACTCCTGATTACTACGGGCTACCGGGCACGCACCACGTGACGTCATCGACTCGCGCCCGAGGCCGCCAGGAGGCCCGCCCCCTCGGGAAGCACGCTCTATGGTCTGCGCAGGCGCAGAGCTGTCCTGTGCCCAAGGCGTTGGGCCTTAGGACTCCCTATTGGAATCTGTCTTCCTTAGTTAGGAAAAAGGCCGCACACACGCAAACCTGGCTGAAGTACAAATGTGCACTTTTTTTTTTTTTTTTTTTTTTTTTTTGGTCTTTTTGAGACAGGGTCTCCCTGTAGCCCCAGCTGGCCTGGAACTCGCCAGGTTGGCCTCGAACTCAGAGATCCACCTGCCTCTGCCTCTGGGCTGCTAGGATTAAAGGCGGGCGCCACCACATTCGCTGAATGTGCGCTTTTTATCCTTAATTTCTCTGCCTTTGCTGATGTGGTTGTGGTTTTACATGTTCATTCCACCACAATGTCTTTTTAAATTTTTATTTTATGTGTATGAATGTTTTGCCTGCATGTAAGTGCACCTGTGTCATTCAATGTCCAAGGAAGTCAGAAGAGGGTGCTTTGGATCCCCCGGAATTGGGGTTATGGACAGTTGTTTGCCACCATGTGGGTGCTGGAAACTGAACCTGGGTCCTCTGGAAGAGCAGCCAGTGCTTTTAACCGCTGAGTCATCTCTCCAGCTCCCACACCACAATGTCTTAAATAAGGTGGGACACTATTACAGTATCTGAATCTACAGAAGTGCCTCCCTTAGTGGAGAGTAAACTTCTAGTTGCAAACATGAGTACTAAATAATTCAAGTATTCTCATATGTGTTCACTCTTAGAGATACATGTGTGGAAGGGGAAGAGTAAAATGCTGAGAAACTAAAAGCTGGCAGCCGCTTTATTCTGGAAGGCGAAGTGTCTCTAAAGAGACTGTACTGGAGAGAGCCAGCTCTGAAAATCGGAGGAAACAGCAGCCAAGAGAAGGCACCTTCCTGAGCAGAAGTATGGGGGACCTGCAGCACGTGACACCCTGCAAGGCGTGGCATAGGGGAAGAACTCTAGGCTAGACCTGTAAGGCACAAAGTTGCAGATCTTGCAGAGCCTTTCTAGGCCGTTGTAAGGACTGTGGCGTTTATCTCCAGTGATGAGTGAGTGACAGGATCTAGTTTTGTAAGACTGTGTGCTGCCTGTGTTTATGATGAGCTGCTGGGAGGGCATACACGATGCTGAAAGAAGAGATTAGTGAAGACACAGTGGTGGAAAATGTACATGTAGAGCAGCTATGGAGAGGAATTAGACAAGGATCTTAGATAAAGAATATGAAGGTATCAAAAATGACTCCCAAATTTCGGATAAGCAAAATAGCGGGCTAAGACAGTGAAAGCAAGATTTGTTCCTTCTCCCTTTAGTCCTGATTCCTTTGCTTTCTAGTTACCCTAGGCTTACCTTTCTCACCACCCCCACTCAATTTCTCTTTAACAACTCCCCCACCCCACCCCTGCCGCCATGCACTTTTCGTGCTACATCAAAGACTACAGTCCCCAAAGCCTTCAGCACACTTGCAGTTATAAGGAGCGAAGCACAGGAACGGAGACTGCGAAGAACCGGGACTTTGTCCCTATTCAGTTCTAGTCGATTTTTGCCTACCAAGAACTCTGGCCTGTGATATAAATCTTGTCAGTTTAAAAAGAAATGACTATAAAGATACAACACAGCTTCCAAATGTTTTTTCTTATTTATTTTTTATTATTATTTTTAATTATGTGTATGGGTGTGAACAGGAATGCAGTGCCTGCAGAGGCCAGAGATACTGAATTCTCCTGGAGCTGGAGTTACAGACAGGCTGTGATCTGTCAGATGTGGGTGCTGGGAACCAAACTCGGGTTCTCTGCATCTCTCCAGTCCCTGAAATCTCCCCAAACTTAAACAGTGGTTGCTAACTCAAGTTTTGTTAAACTTTCCCCTAGGCCAGACCAAACACATTTGCTTGGTCAGATGAAGCTTGCAAGCTACTCCGCCTCCTAGGCAGATATTAACCCAGCTGGATGACTTGTTTATATGACTGTCACCTGGAAGCTGGCAACTCTCAAATCTGCCACCATACCACCATACCCAAATCTTTAAAAAAGTTTATTTAGGTACCCCAATTCCACTTAGATGTCCAGTTGGCACTTGAAAAGCTAAATTTACCCCCACCTCATGTATTCTGTCTCAGTTAATAGAATGACTGTCTTGCTGATCACCCAAGTCTGAAATCCAAGATCATCCCAAACTGGCCCTTCTCATTCATCTCCCAGTCCAGTCTAGTACCTCTTTTTAACCCTTTCCCTTGCTCAAGTCATCACACTCATTTTGTGGGCAAGTCATGTGACCTATCTGCTTTCCAGTCTCCCTTGTGAAATGAGATTGAACCAGAGATCCCTAAAATCTGTTTTATTTATAAAATTATGTTATTAAACCATCAAACATATGGGATAGATTCCTAGAATATGTGCAAAGTTTTTTTTTGCTAGTTTTGTTTTGTTACCTGGCTGTTGTAATTCCAAGGATATTGTGACGAGCTGATGAGGAAAAACTGGATTTTATAGAAACTACTAGTACTAAATGAAACTAACATTAGTTAAAGTTTGTCCATGATTGTTATAGAATTAATACTCATTGAAAAATAACTGCTGACTAGAACCATGAGAATTCTGAAAAGTTATAAAGAGCAGACACGGCAAAATTGATGTTATTGAAAATCGATATTAAAAAATCAAATATTGGAAAAATGTATATTATAAAGTTCAATCAGAAACAAAAATCATTTTAGTTAGTTAAACACAAAAGAGATCACTACTGTCAGGTACCATCATGAAGAAAAAGGATTAATGTGGAATTATAATATCAATATCAAATTTTCACACAAAAATACTGGAACTGATTCTTGAGAAAATAATTTTGTAGAGTGGAAAAAGTAAGAAAGACTTTAACTACGATAAAGTAAAATAAAGTTGAAAAGTAGTTCATGACATGAAATTGGCATACTGAAATTTGCTCCACCAAATATTTACATTGGTGAAAATCACAGATACTGGCATAATTTTTAATTTGGAGGTTTATGTTCATATACAGTGAATTAATGTCACAGAGTCAAAGTAAATGGAGTGAGCATCTTGTATTCATTCAATGGCTCCTAGAAGTCCTTAAGCTTTTGGTTCTAAGACTCCTATTTATGACTATTTATTAATGCTGCAAGCAGAGGTATTTTCTTGAGGTTTGGTATAATTGAATAGTATAGCCTGGTTTGGGTTATGATTTTCATTAATGACCATTTCTCCCTATTCTATGAGTCCCATGAAATCTTTCTTAGCTCCCACTGAGATTTAGTGGGCCAGATTCAATTACAAAAGAACTTTAAATGTTTCTCACGTGGAGGAAAATCCAACAGAGGTGTTGGAGAGATGGCTTAGTGGTTTAGAGCCCTTACTGTTCTTACAGAGGTCTTGAGCTTGGTTCCCAGCACCCACATGGTGACTCACAGCTACCTGTATCTCCAGCTCCAGAGGATCCGACGACCTCTTCTGGCCTCCACAGGCACCAATACACATGTGATACACACACACACACACACACACACACACACACACACACATTAAAGAAAAATAGAGGAGTGGATGGTGGAGTCTAACTGTCTCTCAACATCCAATCTCTTTTGTTCATGGTAGTGGAATCTTACAGTTTTAGTTAATAGAATGTCCTTATTTTAGCTGAGCATGTGACTACCCGTAAGAAAGATAATTTACTAGTCATCCTTGCAGCTGGCTGTGGCTCTATGACTAAGCCCTGGATAATGATTATAAGAGAAAGTGTAACGTGGCAGGTAATGACAGCCATTTTGAAAACATAGGTGGGTGTGGTGGTTTGAATGAAAATGTCCCCCATAGGCTCCAAGTATTTGGACATTTTGTCCCCAGATGATGTTTGAGAGGTTTTAGAAGGTGTGGCTATCCTGGAGGAAGCATGTCACTGGGAGTGGGCTTAGAGAATTCTTAGAAAGTTCTTAGGGAATTTTTAAGCCTTGCCAGATCTCCAGTTGCTGTCTTGCTTCCTGTGCTTGCGTGATGATTGGAGAGCTTAGCTTCTGCTGCTCCTGCTCCAGCCTGATCCAGCCACCTCCAGCCACCATGCCTCCCTGCCATGACGGAATGTAATTCACCTGGAATCATAAGCTCAAATAAACTCTTCCTTCTATAAGTTGCTTTGGTCAGTGTTTCTATCACAGCAACAGAAAAGTGGGATAATTCAGTGGGATATAACTTTGCTTTCGTCTTCCAATCCTCCACATGACTGAGATACCAATGTCCTGGCTGCTTGGATAATTCAGTCTTCAGAATCTTTTGTTTTTGTTTTTTGGTTTTTTTTTTTTTTACTATTAATAGATTTTTTTATTGTAGTAAAATATACATGACATAAAATATAGCTGTATGCCATTTTAATTCACAGTTTAGTAGCACTAAGTAAATTCACCTCACTGAAAGCATCACTGGCATCCTTTTCAGAAATTTTACATCATGCAAAAAAGAAACTAAACGTTAAACAACTGACACCCTAATCCCGCCTTTTTCTTGGCCCTGCTGAATCATTAGTAACTTTCTGTCTCTATATTTTATCAACCTTCAGAATCTTATAAGAAAATTACAAGATAGGAGTCTGAATCTCTGAAGACATTGTTTTGTATTTTAAGATTTTAATTCTTTAATTTTAATTGTATAATTGGACAACACTTTATTCCATGAAACAGAAAAAGTGTTTCCAAGGACATTTTGGATAACACTATCATACCAACTTTGAACTACCCTCCTCAGTACTCTAAGAGAAAAAAGTCGCTCTTTTATTGAAATCACTTTGTTTTGGGTCTGTTTCTTCCACCAGATATAATTCTAACTGATATAAGGTAAATCAAAAGAAAGATGCACAGTAAAGTCACTTGCAGTTTTCACAAAGACCTGAGTAGCAAGAAGAAAGAAACATCCTCCTGCAGGATGTAGCAGCTCACAGCAG